GTGATAATATGCTACGTAAAGCTTTCTTTGAGTTGTATTTTGAAGATTTCTTGTATCTTCATAAAGCTATGCTGAAAATACTTTTTGGCATGGGTTTCACATTCAAGCTGCTCTTACTTTTTGAGACCAATTTGCCTGACTTTTGGGTTTGTCAGAAGCTTCAGAAATACAGGGCAAGAGGCACTGTTTACACTGTCAAAAGTGGGGGAGGTAACCATACACAAACATTATTGAAGGTGCACTGGTGCACCAGCGTCCTATAGTCTAAAATTAGGTGCACAGCTCCAATTTTAGACATTGTCAAGTACTACTGTAACATACAAGTACTCAGAATAATATTTTGTATAATTAATGTCTACCCGAGTTTTATACTTGCTTGCGTACTCGTTTGTAAGATCATAATTATAATTATACTATATGAGCATACCGACTAACGAAAAGCAGAGACTCGCATCAGAACTGACATGCTTTAAGCGCAAAACCAAGAATAAGTACAGGGTGTAAATGAAGTACTTTGTCTTGTAAGACCGACGAATGCCCACTACTACTACTACCGACTAACGGGGATGTTACCAAGACTGAGCCCAAGGAATAGTCTGTTGACCTCACTTTAAGGTTGCTTTAAGTCGTAGTAAACATTCGTGCATATATCTGTCAACGGTTAAGTATTGCATGAAAGCTATTCCACTTGTAAATCTGCTGCCTGCTCCAATGGTAGACAAAAGTTCAGCAACAACTTACCATGACCAACACCATAACACGCTATCCCGTCTTCAGCGCCAAAGTCATACCTGTACGTAGACAGAGGTTTTCTGAATGTCTAAACGTTTGACGTACAACCCAAAATTGGAGCTGTGCAACATAATTTTTGACCTCATGGACTGCGGTATCCACTCTTGGGCATCGAAGTCACACCCATACATGCACAGGTGGTTTCTAAGAGTCTCAACATTCAACAAAATTCTCCGTGTGGGAGCTATAGGGACTTAACAACAGATCACAGTTGCTTGGGAGCTTGAAGCAACTAGAATTCTTTGCCAGGCAACTGGGGGGAATAAGCAGGAAAGCTTTGCCGCAGTATTCTGAGGGAAAATTTGGCGACAGCCATGGCGGTACATTTACCAGGGGTGTGTGAGATACTGAGAGGATTTTTTGAGGTAATTTGTATGTTTATGATTCTGTTAAAAGCATGATTTGCTACCCACAGTCTGTACATTGTATTGTTTGTATCTGTATGATCAGATTCTGTATTCTGTATAGCAGGTATAACTGCCCTTCGGTGTGACACACCAGCTTCACAGGCACATGGCATGGCGGCAGCTGGCTACATTATACCAAACCCTTGGACAGCTAACTCTATTTAATTATAATGTTTAATGCTATCTAATGACAATGCCCCTACTGTACTTGGTGACAGCTAGTTCCACTCTACGATAGTTCTAGGAAAGAATTTTTGAACACCTCAATCCTTGGTTGATAACTCTGGCACTTGAAGGCATGACATAATTATAATTTCTTGTTCTTTTCTGAGCTGGCATTAGGTACTTAGTAGTTGGTACATCCACCAGTTTTTTAGTCATTTTGTACATCATGCATTACATCAAATATGCTGCAAAAGACTTGAAGGAAAAGGACACAGTTTTGTGTAATAAGCCTAAGGCCACACCAATTTAATTTCTTGGTTAACGGATTTTTCTAGAAAAATAATGGAGCGGGCGGGTGAAAAAAAATAAAAAATAAAAACAGGCCTATATAGGCATCCTATTATGGTCCAAAATGGTACGATAGGAGCCATGAAGTCAACACACCAGGCTGGTTCAAAATTTAAACAATGAATTTTGAACTTTTAATGATACCATTGCATTGAAAGATGGAATAACTGCAACAACTAGGATGAAAAGGACTTTTTTCAACTGTTCAGGGCAAAATATGAGCATTTTGCAGTTGATTCTGGATTTTTATTTTTATTTGCAAATCAGAGAAAAATGAAGCGGCGAATCCGTTAAACAAGAAATTAAATTGGTGTGGCCTAAGTCTCAACATTCAACAAAATTCTCTGCTATGACAGACTGCAATGTTTATTGGTAATGGTCTGTGACTTGGTAAGCAGCCTAACTTTGTATAAACATTCTCTGTTTGCAAACCTACATGTAAACCACTTCTTACCCAAGCCCTAAAAACTGCCACCCAAAAATTATGACCACAGCGAGTTCACAACAGTTTAGAACACTATACAAAACCGGAAATTCTTCTGCATCTAGGTTAGGATTCTTTGATCAGAATTTAAAATGATAATACATAAAGAAATTGTAGGTAATGAAGTCTGTATAATTACTAAACATTAATCAACATAAGGCTGTAAAAAAAACAAAGTAACCAATCCCTATTATAAGTATGTGGAAGCCTACACAGGTGTTCATTTAGCAGTAAAGTAATTAAGGAAACAGCCAATCAGCGACCAGATCTCCAAACAGGGTGCCTCTGCCACCCATATTTGGGCATTGGTCCTATGTCCAAATATGGTCACACTCCAATCTTGGCAACACACTCTGCTATAGTACATTAGCCTATTTCCATTATATTTAGTGCATATTGCAGGCTATATCAGAAATTAAATCATAGGAAGCGCATATAGAAAGGTTATATTACTAAACATTTATCAACCTAAACTGCACACTAGGAACAAAGAGAGGTTAAATTAGCTGTTTTTCTAACTAAGGACATGTTTGAGGTTGGGATATTGAACCAGCTGCTTGGGCTCAGACCATAACTTCCAGTAAAGTAATCTGTTTATAGATTTCCACAGGACTGAGTGTATATAAGCTGAGGTGGGGAGGTAGGAGGAAGGCAGTTGCTGAACAGAGTTTTGGACTGTCCAGTGGTGGATTTAACGAACATTTTTCCTTGTGAGAAAGTTCGTCCCCCACGTTTGTATTTGGTAAATAGATATTTTATTATTTACTGTACAGTTGTTTAGCTAGGGCAGCACGGAGAAGAGTAAGATTATCATTTGGGTTGAACTTTGTTTTTCAATTTTGCCTCCAAGTTGCTGATAATGGTATACAGTCTGTAATATTATAATACCATACATGTATGTGCTCAACTTGTAGTGTGTGATCAGCCTACTTCCTGTCCTTGCTATGTCTGTTTGCCATAACTGCACAATTATTTGCCATCATATCACTATCATGATAGCTAGAAAACTGGTCCAAGAAAATCTCTTTTTGTAGCCTAAATTTTAGTTGGCAATATCTTTTTAGCATGTAAGCTAGTATTCGAAGCGTACCAAATTGTGTTTTAGTAACATTGTACAAAAGTCATGTACATGTATCTCATAACAACATAACTACGTAGTCTAAAATATGAAATTTTGCTAATTGAGCATTCCATCCAGTGGTAATATTACCTGTAGGTGCCGGATAGTTGTGACACAAAATATCACTCCAGCATAAGGTTCTATTGTGGTTTTAGTATATTGCAATACTATATTCCCTTAGCAGATTTTGACTGTATATTGTATCTCACACTTGTGTATGTAACACAGTATAATGTAACGTACACATGTATGTAACAGTGTAATAAATGTACATGATATTTAGTTGCCTTTGTCAGAATGCTATGAAATCAATTTGCTATATAGTGTGCCTGGGAGACTGTGGATTTAGTGGCATTACTCTTGAAGGCATGCATGGATTGATATTTGTGATTTTTGGCAGGCAGGTTGAGGAGACCAAGGTCAAGTTCAAAAATGGGCCTTGACTTGAGGAGGGTCACTACGTCACTGCGGTGGACTTTTTGTGCCTGTCGTTCTTGTTGGCAGGTTGACTCGAGAATCTGTAAATGGATGTTAATGATTTTTGGTAGGCAAGTTACCATTGAGGAGACCAAGGTCAAGTTCAAAAATGGGCGTCGAGGGGGGTCACTACGCCACTGCAGTGGAAAATTTGTTGTTTTTCTTGTTTACTAATTGAGAATTCTTCCCTAACACTTTGCAGCAGAAGATGTGCACCTGTGCCTTCCACATGAGGGTCCACCGCGCAGAGACCGCCGCGGCCGCCAGCCCGTATGGAAGCCTCCACGACAGCAACACGACAACCTTCAGCGCCAGGACACCGCGCTCCTCTCCGCAACACCCTGCGAAGAACGGATTCGGGAACAGTTCCTCCTCGGAAGACGAGGAATCAGAAAACTCAGGAAAGCTGCCGAGCGTGCGACCGCAGACAATATCAAACTACGACGAGTTTAGCAATAACACCGAGAGCACGTTCTGGCAGGGCATGTTGGGTACAGACAATCAGGAACAGACTAGATTTTACGGAGAAGAAGAGAGGACAGAATTGGCGCGGGATGATCTGTTTCCACATAAAAGCGACAACTCAAAATCAACTTTCCAGAAATTTTGGCCTCATGGTCCGTTTTGGCCCCCGCACTACTATGGGCCAAGGATAGAAACACCAAAGTTTATATCAACAGAGCATAAAAAAGTAGAACCTTTGTGGTCAAACCATAAAAGTGAGCCTTTTCTTTAACTTGAAGTTTGTTATCCATGACTAATAGTATCATTAAATATTGTCAGACTAGTATATTCATGTTCAACAACAAAATGTAATTTAACTTGAGTATGGACTACTGTACATGGTACGTACAGGATGCAAAACAAACTTGGTTGGTTTGTTTGTTTGTTTGTTGGTTGGTTTGTCGGTTGGTTGTATGGATGGATGGATGGATGGAGGGATGAATGGAGGGATGGATCGAAGGATGGATGGAAGGATGGATGGATGGCTAAAACAAAAATTAATGTCTTGTAACGTGGTATTTTATCATCTATTCTTTCTTGCTTTCTTTATTTTCTGTTACAGTACTTCATGTTTGTCTTTTATGAATCTACATTTTGTATTCATGCTTTAATTGTGAATCATCAAAATGTAGTAAGTACAATTAATGCATTATACTAATACCTCAGTCAATGTCTTTGATACTGAAGACTTGCCTTTGTTCAGTTTTCCAGCATCGAACGATTAACGACAACGATCCGTCGCGGTTCCCGCGCCAGTGGCGAGGGAAGGTTGTCGTGTTTGACAGCGAGAGGATGGCGAAGGGACAGGTGCCGCATAACGTGCCGGAGGGCTGCTGCCCTAGCCTCTCGTTCGAGTCCAGATTCGAATCAGGGAACCTTCGGCAAGCAAGGAGAATGTAAGATATAACACTTGCTACCTAATTTTAGTAGTTAGATTAGTGTTTGATAAATTATTCAAAATCTTACATCCATATTCTGTATTGCCTTTGGTGCTAGCCCTGTAGATTTACATAAGAATCTCAAATATCATATTTGTTTAAAGGCATGTACACATACAATATGTCATGTATTAAAAATTTGCCTGGTTACCAAACCTATTATAGCTCCTGAGTCCTACATCCTCTCCGCAAATAGAAAAATAGCATACTGTCACTTTAGTTAGATACATTGTTCATTGAATTTCATTTTTTTAATCTATACTTTGTTTGCAGAGGGCAGTATGAGTATGAGTTAGTGTTGAAGACAGACCTGTACACGTCCAGACACACACAGTGGTTCTACTTCAGGGTACAGAACGCCCTGCCTGGAATCACATACAAGTTCCAGATAGTCAACCTGCTGAAGAGGGACAGTCTCTATAATTATGGTAAGTCACCATTGGTGATAGCAGACCTTTATAAAAGTCTCCATAGGTTTGGGGTCTCCATAAAAAGACAGTTGCCATTTATATGGCTTGAAACATCCCCTGTATATGCAGGTTATTATATATACAGCTAAAATTAGATCTCTGTAAGTGTGTGATTTCTGATGTCTACCTGCACCCAGTTACAATGTTGCTGCACAAGTCAATGTAGCTGAATATGTAGTGAATTTGTTTTGCTACAATGTACAATGTATCTTCAATACTTAGGCATGCGCCCCCTAGTGTATTCTGAGAGAATGGCAAGAGACAGGACGATAGGCTGGCACAGATCTGGGCACCATATTAGGTAAGATTCCATTACCTTGATAAATATTAGATAAAATTAGGTCTCTTTTATTGAGAAGAGGCATCTTTACACAACATTTGTTGCTTAATTTGTTTTCTATTTCAAAGTTTTTGCTTGTTGTAAATTAGGATTAGTGTATAAATTGATGAAATAATGTAATACTATACATGTATGAAGATTATTTCCAGTAACATGTTGTGTATTTCTGATTTGTTTGTAGTTATTACCAGTTCTACAACACCAGCAGGAACCCACTCTTACAACCAGACATCAACTACTTCTGTCTCGAGTGGCAGATGGTGAGAACGATTTTCTTTCCTTTTTCTCTTCTTCAGTTAGTCCTTTACACTGTGCCAGGATTTACGTCCTGTCGAGCATGTCACGTCACAACATGTACTGAATTGAGTGTCTAAGCAAATAGAAACTAGAAGTACACACACAAGAAAAAATTGTGCCTATGGTCTTTCGTAAAATTTCATACCAACCACCGGACTGCTTTTTCCACCCCAAAATCGGACTGGACTGCTTTTTCCGCCAATCGGACTGGACTCCTTTTTCCATAAACCCTTCCCAAGGGCACAACATTGGGGCCTGCCACTTTGGATTCTGAGACAAGAATGCCAACCACGAGACCAAAATGCCAACGGTTTCAATGTCCTAATTCCACAGAAATTCTCTTATGAAGAAGACACATACATGGCTTGTGTACTACCTGGCCCACTGCTACTCCTACACATGTAAACATGTACAGAAATATTTTAATTCCTGTATGAAGAAGACACCTACTACCTGATCCACTTACCTCTACACCTACATTTGTACATGTACACAAAGATAGTAAACTATTACAGTAACAGTAACAGTCACTGTAACTTTCTAATATCCTAATTCCTCAGAAATTCCAGTATGAAGAAGACACGTACTACCTGGCCCACTGTTACCCTACCCCTACACCTACATGATTGTACATTTGTACATGTACAAAAAGATAGTACAACATTGTAACAGTAACTGTAACTTAAAGTTTTGTAATACCCTAATTCCTCAGGAATTCACATATGAAGAAGACACGTACTACCTGGCCCACTGTTACCCCTACACCTACATGTACATGTACACAAAGATATATATTTGTACAGTTGTAATATACAATCATGTATAATTAATTCCACAGGAATCTCCCTATGAAGAAGACACGTACTACATAATATGTATACATGTACCTGCCCCATTGCTACCCCTACACCTACATGTACACAAAGATATATATTTATTTGTATTATCATGATAGTGTTGTAATATACAATCATGTATTAATTCCTCAGGAATTCCCGTATGAAGAAGACACATACTACCTGGCCCACTGTTACCCCTACACCTACACCTACATGTACACAAAGATATATATTTATTTGTATTATCATGATAGTGTTGTAATATACAATCATGTATTCATTCCTCAGGAATTCCCGTATGAAGAAGACACGTACTACCTGGCCCACTGTTATCCCTACACCTACACGGACCTCAAGGAACACCTGGACGACCTGTGCAATACTGAGGAGACAGGCCGGCACGTGAGGAGAGACGTCTTGTGTGAGACACGAGCCGGAAACAGCTGCTTTCTCCTTACCATAACAGAATTCCCAGGTCAGAAAATGTAAACAATCTCAGCGTGCAAAATACCTGGTTTCCCAGTTGCCCCGGGCAACCAAATTTTACTTGGGGCAACCTATTTTTGAACCTAGGTAGCCCAGTGTGCTACCTGAATGTTAAGAATGCTCCCCCCCCAAAAAAAATCATGCCCACTTGGCTTGCACCACTGTATCCGGCAGATGCTTTTTAATTTTAGGTATTAATGGCTATTACTAGTATCAGTCAACTAAAGGCTGTTAGAAATATTGTCAAAGGCTTATGTATGTAACATTAAACTTAATTTGAGGAAAGAAGTAACTTATAGGTGGGGCAACCTAAAATTCTGATGGCCAACCTACATGTAATTTTTGCAGTAGGTTGCCCACTAGGCAGCCTGGTTCAAAAAAGTATTTTGTACACTGAATATGTAATAGGTTAGCCTGTGTTCCATCTAATTTGCTCCTTAGGCCACGCCAATTTGATTTGTTGGTTCTCAGATTTTTTTCGAAAAAAATATGAAGCAACAAGGAAAAAAATGATGATACTGTAAGTGCATTAAATTTTATGTTTGCGAGGATGCAAAACGAAGAGAGATGTCAATAAACTAAGCTTAATCTACCAGCAAGATTTGCCCCATCAAAATCAGGCTGGCTAGAACACTGCATTGAATAATAAATTACAGGTAATTTTAGGATGTTAGGCGAATGTACATGTATACAGAAAAAGTATTTCAAACCATTTTGAGTAAAAATACCATGTAGATGAATTTTTCTGTCTGAGGTGCTGAAACATTGGTGACTGGTAAGTAGTCACCCTGTCCTTGGTACTAGGGTAAGCATTGTCCAACAGAAATAAGTTAGTTTCCCTTTTATTCTTTCCCTCTTTTCATGGAAAACACCAACCCAAATCCTAGTAGGGCCCAGGATCCCTCTAACTGAGGGGGGAAATATGTGTTACCCCGGTAAATGCCTTTCCCAAGGGCACAACGTCTGGGTGCATGTCCGGACATGTCTGGGTCCAACCCTGGGGATTGAACCTGGGTCTCCTTGCTTGACAGTTGGATGCTCTACCACTACACCACACAGATGCCACAAGGCTGTTTTAGGTATTCTTGAGTCATCCATTCTCAGTACATGGCAGAGACAAGACAACTTAATCTTTTCTATAATTCCAGATGAGGAGTCGAAGTTGAACCTTCGTCAGGCGTGTCACCGTGGTAAGAAGGGCGTGGTGGTGTCAGCGCGGGTTCACCCTGGGGAGACACAGGCCTCGTGGATGATGAAGGGACTACTGGACTTTCTCACGGGGGAGTCAGAAACTGCCAAGGTAACACCCGTCTTTTCTACATGGTACAGCCCTGTACATTGTAGGTTACCAAATTGTTGAAGGCTGTGATGACAGGTTTCTATAGATAGAGAGAATCCTGAGCTCCTATTGGACTGTTAGTATAATATATTAAATTAAATGATGAATCCTGAACTCCTAATATTGGACTGATTTTCATGTGATTAAGAAACCTGTGCTCCTATTGGACTGTTTTTAATAGTGGTAAAGAATCCTGAGCTCCTATTGGATTGATTTTTAAATTGATAAAGAATCCTGAGCTCCTATTGGACTGATTTGTATAGAGATAAAGAATCCTGAGCCCCTTTTGGACTGATTTTCATAGTGATAAAGAAACCTGCGCTCCTATTGGACCGATTTTCATTGTGATAAAGAATCCTGAGCTCCTATTGGACTGATTTTTAAAGTGATAAAGAATCCTGAGCTCTTATTGGTCTGATTTTCATAGTGAAAAAGTATCCTGAGCTCCTATTGGTAGTTCTGGAAATGGTTCTCTGCAGTTAGAGGTGTATGACCACAAGCTCTCAGTGAAAAGGCCCAATCAGCCCCTGACAGCACAAAATTGTCTCACACAGTCTATATAATGCTTCGATCTTTCCGGCACTTGGGATTTGGCACTCCCAGCCCCGAGAACAGACAACACTTAAGCTCCTGTTCTGTATAACAGGAGCTTTCAGACTAATTTGCATCATCTTGTCTTGACTTGTCTGACTTTTGTTCCTTTTTTGACTTCCAAAAATTTGTCTTCACTTTATTTGCATATCAATCAATAGGTTGTGCTTATAAACCTGTTTTCCCCTCTGGTCTCTCAGTCACTGACGAAAGCTAGTGGATACTAGTTGAAACGTCTGACGTTTTCAAAATCATATCCAGTTGCTTGAGTAACTGCTTTTTGGTGTATCGTATTGCCTGGATGTCTAACCTTCATCGATGAATCTTATGAATGTTTTTCTTCAGGAGTTGAGACACAACTTCATCTTCAAGATCGTGCCGATGCTGAACCCAGACGGCGTGATCGTGGGGAACTATCGCTGCTCGCTGGCGGCGCGGGACCTGAACCGGAACTACCGCAACCCTCGCAAGGAGATCTTCCCCACCGTGTACTGTGTCAAGGAGATGACAGAAAACTTCAAGAGAGAGCACGAGGTAAGGGTTCTGTGCTGTGGTCTAATGGTTTGTTCTCTTCTTGGCCATTATGTACTATACATGTAGTTGCAGGTTTTTGACACTTTCCTATCTGTCGATATCTGGCAAGGTAGTCAATTTAAAGAGCACACCACAGTCATCCCTTGTATACCCTAATGACATTCATATACAACTGTTTACTTAAAAAATAGTCAGGGATTACTTAAACCTCTCTCTTGAAACTAAATGAAGGTGTGCATTGACTGTCTTGTCTTTCTTCAAGCAGATATATTCAGGAGATGGCAACAAACTTTTGATATTGTCCAGTCATCATTCATGTTTCATAATCAGTCAATACCATGGGGAAGAGCAGACCTTGCAACAATCTACTAAACTGGCCTCTTCTATTGCAACCTAGTGCCCAAGCTGACTTGGAGAAGTTTAGATTCATTTTTACCAGACAAAACTGTGTGATGTACTGGAATTATAAATTTAAAGTGGTAAATGAAGAAAAAACTCAATAATCAAGACTCTGTTTTCGTTTAACCCAGGTCATCATGTACTAATTTGACTTGCATGTCTGTATGTATAAATATGTGTGTGAGTGTGTGTGTGTGTGTGTGTGTCTGTATGTCTGTCTGTGTGTGTCTGCCATCTCTGATTGCTGTGTTCCCTTTCTCCCCAGATCATCGTGTACTGTGACCTTCATGGCCACAGCAGGAAGCCAAACGTGTTCATGTACGGGTGTAACTCCCTCCAGGGTTGTGTCTGCCTGTCTGTATGTCTGTATGTGCATGTCTGCCATCTCTGATTGCTGTGTTCCCTTTCTCCCCAGATCATCGTGTACTGTGACCTTCATGGCCACAGCAGGAAGCCGAACGTGTTCATGTACGGGTGTAACTCCCTCCAGGGTTGTGTGTGTCTGTCTTTGTGTGCATGTGTATATGTGTGTGTGTGCCATCTCTGATTGCCATGTTCCCTTTCTCCCCAGATCATTGTGTACTGTGACCTTCATGGCCACAGCCGGAAGCCGAACGTGTTCATGTACGGGTGTAACTCCCTCCAGGGGAGAATGGGGCTGGACGGAGCCGAGGTCTTCATCAACGAGAGACTCTTCCCCTGGCTCATGGCACAGAAGGTAAAGCTGTTTTATTTTTTATTTTATTTTATGACGATTGACCACATTTGTGGAAGGATTGACATTACAGGTGACTATCACCTCTTCAAAGATGTCAACCCCGAAACCAGACTGTAATGTTTGAACCACTCACACCAGGAAGGTCCCAGACTCTTTTTGATAAGTGTGGTGGGTTCTTTAACGTGCGTGGGGTGTGGCTCTCCCCAAACACGGGACCTCAATTTAACGTCCTATCCGAGGGACGTCCCTAACCGAAGCCAGGTACTCATTTCCACCTGAGTGAAGTGAGGAAAGTCGTGTAAAGTGCCTTTCCCAAGGGCACAAGATCGGTGACATGGGTAGGATTTGACCCCGCGACCTCTTGGGTGTGAGCTGAATGCGCTTCTGACTGTGCCACACGACCCACACCTTTCTAAGATTGTCACAATATATTATACATGTACATAAGAAAGTATTTTAAGCCATTTGTGTGAATATACAAGATCACAGATAAGTGTTCTGTGATACAAGTACATGTCTGTGGTGCTGAAACGTGAGTGACTGTTAAGCAGTTACCCTTTCCTTAGGCCACACCAATTTAATTTCTTGGTTAACGGATTCGCCCGCTTCATTTTTTTCTGATTTGCAAATAAAAATAAAAATTCAGAATCAACTGCAAAATGCTCATATTTTGCCCTGAACAGTTGAAAACAGTCCTTTTCTTCCTAGTTCTTACAGTTATTCTATCTTTCAATGCAATGGTATCATTAAAAGTTCAAAATTCGTTGTTTAAATTTTGAACCAGTCTGGTGTGTTGACTTCATGGCTCCTATCGTACCATTTTGGGCCATAATAGGATACCTTTGCCTGTTTTTATTTATTTTTTTTTTCACCCGCCCGCTCCCTTATTTTTCTACAAAAATCCGTTAACCAAGAAATTAAATTGGTGTGGCCTTAGTACTAGGGTAGGCATCATCAAAAAGAAATTACTTAGTCTAGTAGTTTTAATTCCTCCTGCATTTTACAACTTGTTGATGTTTCAGTCTCTACATATTGCTGTTGATAAAAATTGGTGCATGGACACATGGCTACAGCTAAGAGAACGTTTTTGCATACCTATACACATCTTAAAAGTGTTCTAGAAAATTTAATGTTTGTTTTGTCAGTATGTAAAACACACTTGTGGTTACTATGTTGTTTCCCACAAAATAGGCGCCAGACAAATTTGCGTTTGGTGGCTGCAAGTTCCAAATCAAGAAGTGTAAGGAGTCTACGGGTCGTGTGGTGATGTGGAGGACTGGGATCATGAACAGCTTCACCATGGAGGCCACCTTCTGTGGGACTGAGAAGCTTGGCAGGTGGGTGCTGCTGCAGTTCTTTACGATTCTGATAGGGGGTGCTGCTATTTGTATTTATGTCGCCATCATTAACCATTAACCCCTAAGGCCATGTTGATTTGATTATATGGATGACATCCGTGCGCGCATGAATTTTCGGCCGTTTCAAAAAAAAAAGTTTTCAACCATACTGTAAATCGTACAAAACAGTTGCAAAATGAGCAAAAATATACCATAAGTTACAAAAAAAAACAATCCAATGTCGTAGAATGCCAAAATCAAACGAAAAAAGACGAAATTGTAAAGAAATGAACTTGAAGACTAGATTATTCGCCAAACCATATTCTGTCCCATTTGTTCAACCCTCATGACCACGTAGATTTCATAATGAAAACAACTTTTTTTTTTGCAAAACTTTTCAATTTTGGGGTTCCTGGAGGATGTCATCCATATAATCAAATCAACATGGCCTAATGAGTTTTTGGCCTGTGTATCTGTGTACCTGTGTTTTTGTGCTAACACAATGCTGCATTGTCATACATGTGCATCATTATTGTTGCTGTTTTCGTCAGTTGCACTGGGAGGGTTGCAAAGCAGGATGGGTAAGGGGCTGAAGTCTGCCATCACTAATTGCCTCGTTCCATAGATGTGTTGTAGAAAAGAGAATGTATCCTTCCTTGTTTCATATCTATATGGTATACAAGACTAATACATAAATTAACTAATTATGATTGTATACTTTAACTTCCTACTGCTGCCAGTGTTTTAAAAAAGAGGAAGGCAAATTTCAGGGTACAGAAGGAACCTGAGGTCAAGCCAGGTCAAAGGTTAGAGTTTGCATGGGGTCGTAGTTCACCCAACTGCACTGGATAGTTTATAAACGGGTTGCATGAAAAAATAGCAAATCTTTTGAAGCATACATGTAAGTTGCCATGAGTTTGGTCAGTATGTGCGTTTTGGGATAGACAAAGTACGCAGAACACAAATCGTAGCAAGATCTGTTGTGCAAGATTCTTGTCATTTGATTTCTGCTCCATATGAAATGTAGTTAATGTACAATGTACAACAAAATGAATGAAACGGGTGAAAATTTTATGGTCTCAATCTCTGTAGAATGGCACAACTGCACATTGGGAGTTAGTCTGTACAAGACACATGGTGAACACTGCATGGATAACTGTAATCCCCTCATTATAGCATGTAAAGTAGACCTCATTTGATTGTACAACTGTACATGCTTGCTTTCCTGAAATATGTTTGTTTTTTTCTCATCAGTGGACCTCCAAGACACTTTAACATTAAGGACTTCCAAGACATCGGCAAGACGTTTTGTGAGGTGGTGCTGGACTATGTCAAAGCCAAGGAAAACAAGAGGTACTGTACTTTGGCCCTTTCTATTTTAACACTGAAGAGTTTCTCAGTTTGTGCCCTAGTAAAATTACATTGGTCCAACAAATAATGCCGCAGCACAACACTCATACTGTATGATACTGCAATTATACAACACAGAAATAGGGGGTGCTGCTGCGTAGTACTACATGTAGTAAGTAGTAGTAAATGGTTTATTGATAAAACACGGGGCAAGTCGGCTTTGCAGTATACACTGAATTGCGCCGAATTTTACATATTCCACATACTCAGTAAAATTAACACAGTATGCTATTAAAATACATATACAAGTATATACAAGGAACGCTTAATGTTGTCAACGTGGTTTTACATACTATAAATATAATGTAGTGGTTCACCATCAAGGCAATTAAAAAGCGTTGTTGTGAGGAATCATTACAGGTGAGGCTACTCTCAGATCAAAACGGTTCACAACAGTTCAGTTTTACAGTCCATTGAGGAGTCTAGCCAACATCGGCTTCGCGCTGGTCGTGTATCTGTACATGTAGTAATATCCTCTGTATTTCATACTGTAAACAATCTGCGATGATCTTGACACAGCTCACTGCCCACATAATACTGCGATTTTACAACGCCCCTGCTCCAGGTATATACTTGGACCGGAATATGAGGGTTTGCACGACGTGAGCTTACTCATTTAACTTTGGTTTGCATGCGTGCTAAAACTCACCTAGCCACATGTCTGCAAAGATCCTGGACCTTACACGGCACATGTACATCAGCCACATAATACTGCAGTTATATAACAGACTAATAGGTATATATAGCGCCCCTTGCGTAGTAAAATATATTTAACCTGTCTTTGTTTTAATTTGCAGTAAACAGTCAGCGATGATCCTGGACCTGACACGGCACATCACCCACATGATCCTGCAGAAACGCGACATGATGCCGGCCAATCAGCCGGAGCTTAACGAGAACCTCAGCGACAACGAAGAACTCAGCGATGACGAGGAAAAAGAGAAAGGTGAACGACCTCATCAAAGTTTTTCCATCTACATTTTTTCACAGTTAGAACCGAATAGTATAGATGCTGTGGCCACACCAGTTTAATTCGTTGGTTCTTGAAGTTTTTATGTAAATTTTTTGTAAGAGGACAAATTTGAAAATAGAAAGTGAAGGCTGGACAAAAACTTCAACAATAATATATTACAAAATTCACAACTCTTTTTATGTTGTTATTTCTGTTCGTTTTTTAAAAATCTATCTAAAGAATTTAATCTAAAGAACCAACAGATTAAAATTTGTGTGGCTATTAGAATGCTAAATGCTAACATAGCCATGCACTTATGTGTCACTGTGTTTGTGCTTTTATGTCTAGTTGACTGTATTTTGGCATTTTACATTTATCATCTGAAATATTGCATGCTGCATGTACGGGATTAGAACCAGTGTCAGTAGATGTAGTGTCTGTCTCAAAACCTGCCACGCACCTTCAACCCTCGCTAGAGGAAGAAAATACTGAATACCAAGAAGTCATAGAAACAGCAAACTATCACAGTGGTACGTATATGGGATTATGTTGGCAGATTTCTTAATTTCTATTTTTCCCCCTTTTGATATTCAATTCTGGTTTCGTCATATCAAAGTTTTCTAATAAACCTGGCTTTTTGCATGCTCACATGGACAAAAGCAATACAAAGTCCCGAGGAAGAGTGTGTGGAAAATGTACTTCCAGAAGTACAAAATGTACATGCGCCTGTGGCAGTGGAAGATACATGTAGCCCTGCATTTTACCTGGGTCTTCGTGTGGAACTCAATACTGAGTGTCCGGATTTGGATAACATGTTCGATGATGTTGAAATTCAACCAGACAGAGGTACATAATACAAAATAAGGGTAGGGTGTAATTCAGACTAACATTTGCACATTTCACAGTTTTTGCACACTCCTCAAATAGATTGAGTAATCATGCACAGTATGCAGTTTCTAGAGAAAAAAATGTCAGTTACAAAATACAATGCACGACACTAAGTTTCTTTGCGTTTCTGTGTGTCAATCTTTAGTCAGCACTTATTGAAAAAAGTGGGGGTGCCCGGTGTGCTTGGATAAAAAACAACAAAAAGCTGTGGCAAGCTACGTTTTATACGATACCAGCTGTATCTAATATTATATATTAGGATAACCGTTTTTAACGTTTAGCACATTTGGTTAACAGTTCTACTAATAATTACATGTGTACATGTACAAGGTTAGACAGCAGGGTGAACAAATTATCTCTTCATGCATTAGTGGCTATAGAAAGCCCTCATGTGATATGCTTACTAACAATTTGAAATCTGTCTTGCTTCTCTTCAATGCTTTCCTAACATCTCTATGTACTGGATTAAACAAAGTGGTTCAAATCAGACCTTTGTCTAAAGTTGTGGAGGAGTCAGAGGATGAGGAAAGTGATTCAGACTCAGGTAATGTCAGGTGGTTTTCCTAGGACAGTCACTTTTTTTCCAGAAGAAAAGAGGTGTTATCATGGTGCAATTTAGCATTATGACTTAAGTTTGTTTTCTAGTCTGATAAAATGTTGTGTAATGTTACCTTTTCTTTTTACCACCATACTTTCAAAATAATAAAACATCTTAGATGTATGATACCTTTGTTTAGTAGTAGTCACTGTCTGTACAGTCAGTAGTAATTGTTTGAAAGGTAGCAAGGGTAAATATATCGTAGGTATGATTTAAAAGCACTGGTAGCTATCACATAATCAAAATACTTCTGCCACACTCAGAACACGAAAAGAAACTTTTAAGCATTTTTCTTTGATTGTGCTGTGCTATTTTGTTGTACTTATTCCAGCTACATTATAAATATAAACTTGTCTCTGTTGCTGTATTTCCAGAAGAGAAACCATCCAGTAAACCGTCGTCCAGTAGTGACAGAGAAACCAGCAAACCCAGCACCAAGTCAACCAAGCCGGGAAAGGAGAAGAAATCCAGGGCCGCTCCAAAAGCCGTTCTCCCTCCCCATCTGCTGGAGAGTCCAGAGTACAAGGATGAGAAGGGACAGGTGGATGTCAATAAGATGATTGAAGCCATGTCAACAGAGACAATAGAGGGGTGCATCCGGTTACTGGAACAGCTGGAAGTCACCAAAACTTTATCAGAATCAGAGTAAGTGTGGAAGGTTTTTTGTTCTTGTGTACAACATTTTTGAGCACAACCATTTCCATACAAAAACCATGATTGACAGGTAGGTTGACAACACATGTATGGGAAAGATTGACAGGCAGAATGACAGGAAGTCAGAGGTCTCAAAATGTGGTCGGGAACCAGTCAATATGGGGGGATTCAGGAATTCATCATGTCTACCTTCACAGAAGGGACACATATTGTTTTTGCTCTGTTTCTTCTTCTTTTCCAAAGAAATAAGTTCAATGACCTGAACCAGATATCTGTCACCATGATAACTAGTGCTGGGTTACATCATGTTGCAATTTTATAGCAGGAGGGATTTAGACTCAAGTCTGACCATATATATGAATGTGGAAGTCCATGAAATCTCTGATCTCTTGTGTTTTTTTTTATAACAGTACAAGTGAAGACTCGGACAGTGAGTCAGAGCCAGAGATGAAGGATCCTCCCAAGAGGAAGAAGAAGAAGAAGAAACAGAAGCGGACCAAGTCCCTGTCTGCCCTCCCGGCCATGAACAATGTGGAAGACAAGCAGAAACGCAACAAAACTACGGTAATAACTCAATGATACAATGTTTTATCTCCCTCTGAACAAGCATTTGTTCAGGACAGATACTAGAATGTAAATGACAATTTCAGGTAATTCTGCTGAGTAAGCTTAGATTACCAAATTAACCTTTAGCATGCTGAAGTAACTGTTTGGCTAGTAGTTTTCTATTACAATGTAGTTATGGGTAAGGCAGCAAGAAGAAGGTTAACTTTAACAGTGTTATCTATTAGAAGGTCTTTGCAAGAATGCCTTGAACAGTGGATATCTGGAGTGTGCATATCTCAGAGGGAATAATGAATTTTTGCATTTTGTAGATTTCTAAATTCAATTTTTTGTAATCTTTGCATCATATCAAATTTTTATGACTGTTTGCAAGTACAAAATGGCTCTTTTTTTACCAGATTATCAGTCATATCAAGAAAGATTACTTTTGTTTCATTGTGTCAATATATTGATGGATACTGAAGCTCTTCCACACAACCAAGATTGTTCTTACCTGCAAATGTTTTGGCTGTTTTGCTGTTAAACTTTCCACAGTGGGCTACATGTACTGTACTGAATGCAAGCAAATTTTTTTATTTGTAATAAAAGAAAAAATTGCAGTAAATCAAGAAAGGTAGTTAGTGTTCATTTTAGGCAATTTTGAACCCTTGCAATATTTTAGATGAATATACCAGTGTTGTTTCCTCACATATCAGTTTCTAATCAAAAAACGAATTTTAAAGGACAAAACAAAGAAGATTCCAAAGACAAAGTACCAGGATATTCCCGATCTGAGAAACTTCCAGAGGAAAACGTCGGAACGGGAATGTATCTACCTGGAGCCTGTCCATCTGGAAATCTACCCCAATTCCCGCGTCGTCTGTAGCAGGGGACATTCCCGAATGTCGTCCAGAGAAGCCTGCGCCCACTGTCGTAAGTCACGTGACCACCAGCCGCTCAAGTACTGGTCACATGATCGCAAGCCAATCAAATCTCCCTATGAGCTGAACTGCTACCCGTTCAAGAAGATGAAAAAGAAGAACAGCAAGTTCCAAGCTCCTGATTGGTCAGGGCAGAAGATAGACGTCTCTGATTGGCTGGATAAAAGGCCGGATACCCGGAAGCTCAGGATGACTCCATCCTCTCCATCTGTTTTGTCTTGTGAAGAGGTTCAGAACTTGAGGTGTCTTGGCAGAAGGCATCTTGGAGTGGTACTGAACTCTCGCCATCAGCCAAAAGAAGAGAAACTCTCAAGAAAAGACCAAGATGGACTGCCTACGTCTCAAGAGGGTGGTGAAGACATTTCACAAGAAGATGTGCAGACGTCTTCCAAGGTCTCCTCCACAAGTGGTGAAACTGAAAGCTTGGGGGACTCTGAGTCTGGACAGAGTTCGTCAACTTCGAAGAAACAAGTCAACATTGCCCAAGATGCAGCTCCTACTGTCTTGAGAAACTCTTCACAACAAAACCACGGTGTCTACAAGGAGAAGAAGTTTCCACAATCTTTAATCCTTGAAGGTCAACCTGTGGCTTCTCAAGAAAGATCTACAGGGCAGTCTAAGGTCAGGGAGCCTCCAAGTGTTCCTCCTGTGCCCCCTAACACTGCAGAAATGCTGGCACTGTGTCCTACACTGACAACACAAGAACTGTTGGGTTATGAGGAATGTTTGTACCCAGATTCAAACCCAAATACCTTGAATGGAAAGTTTCAAACTCAAACTCAACACTGGGAAGATAGTGCAACACACATAGAAGCTTCACTGCCTTCAGAACCAGACAAGAAGTTGAGTCATGACAAGAAAGATTCAAAAACAGTTCTAAGCAAGAAGACGGGTTTGGGATCTGTTTCTCTTTCAACCTCAGAGCCTTTGCAGCCTTCAGAACCAGCCAAGAAGTCAAGAGCTGACAAGAAAGATGAAAAATCAGTTGTAAGACTGAAGGAAGGTTCAAGGCCTGTTCATGGTTCAGGAGCTCAAAGTAAATCAGTCGGAGTACAAGCTGCAAACTTTCCTTCATCGGATGTTGATGCAATGGAAAAACGCAACTCTGTGTCAAACAAGGATGAAAGCTCTGGAAAGAAAGAAAAGGACTCAGAAAGTGTTCACTGGAACTGGAAGGAATATTCAGGCTACGAATGGGATGCTACAACGTGGCCCGAAAGCGCAGCATACGAATATGCTGCTCAGGATAGTTGCGCTGAACCTGCTGCGTGCGAATGTGGGGCCGCTTTCTGCTCGGGCTGTGCCGTGAGTATTAGTCATCTAATAGCTGATTGTTTATTGGCTGGTGCTAAATTTTCAAATGTTTAGATTTTGAAAGTGAGCAGCCAATAAGCAGCCATGGCTATTAGATAGCTAATAATCGGGCATAGCAGGTTTTTTCCAAGTCTGCTTTAGTGTTATTTATATTAAAAATTGAATTTCCAGATTATTTTTGCTCAATGAAAACCTCTACAAAGTAATCATATAACTCATTTTAGAGCAATACATGCAGTGCACATGTTCCTTTTACAGGTTATATGTTAGTATAGTATATTATAGTATATTGTAGTTCAATTCCAAAATGTAGACGTGCCAATTTTATCTATCGAGATGACAGAATGGTTTGAGTGGCAGTGAAATTTTTCTGTTATATGCAACAAAATTCTATCAAAGAATAGATGCTGAGGTCTAGGGAAGAAAAATGTTGTGCTTCCTGTTTCAGTACTGGAAAAAATTAGGGTCGGTAGGTAGGGATTATATCTTTTTTCTTTCATTTTTTAGACTTTGGGGACAATTTCTCTACACTTAAACAGAGTAAAACTTGCATTTAGGACAATGTCATTTTTAATGTCGATGTTGGAAAACAGATTGTACAACATTTCATCACTCAGGTGTCAGATCATGGAGCTACAAAAGGTCGATCAGCGCAAAAAATATATATCCCTTGCTGGGATCCACACAAAAAAAAGGCTAGGGTAGTCAGTTTTTTATAGGGTCGGTTGGAAAACAGGAAACTCAACATTTTTTTCCTAGGTCTGAGTAAATGACTTCTCTACGTTCTTACTTATTGGGATTTTTGCTTTTTTTCTTCCCATGTTTTCAGACACCGCCAACTACAAATGTGAAGATTCCGAAGTACCCGCCATTCGTGAATCGCTACGCGAACCGGAGTAACCACGGTATTCCCATCTTCTCACAGGAGAGGCTGCAGGAAAGGGCACAGAAGGTGGGACGCAAATTTATTTGTTTGTTTGAGCCTTTGTTTACTCAATGAAATATTCAAATCAGCCGGGTTGGTGGAAAAAGGAGTCCAGTCCAATCGGCGGAAAAAGCAATCCAGTCCAATTTGGGGGTGGAAAAATCAGTCCGGCGGTTTCTGTGTGTAGCAGCGCCCCCTTGCAAAATACGATAAAAGTACAAGCAGTCTGGTGTGTTATCGCATGTCATGGTGTGAAGCGCACTCATTGGACACAGCTTTGCAAATGCCGACAACTGCTTTTTCCGCCGATTGGACTGGACTCCTTTTTCCACCAACCCAAATCAGCCCGCAAGCCTCTTTTCATTGAGGTTATGGGGGGATCAGGTCCAGACAAAATATTTTGGGAAATGTTGACAAAGTTTAAACATCCAGGTAATAAGATATGCCAAAAAAAAAACAGTCATTTGACAAGCAACTTCCAAAATTCAGTAATATCCAGTTGCTTGAGTAACTGTTTTTTGGGGGGCATATTTTGGGAAATAAAAATTAACTAACTATTAAGAACACCATGCCAAAATGAAATTTTACATACAGTAGATGTTTGAGAACCGACATTAAGTTGCGGCTTAAAATGTGTCTTATAAAATCACTAAAAAACTAAAATCTCTGTAAAATCATATCCAGTTGTTTGAGTAACTGCTTTTTGGTGTAAAATCTCTGTAACCTTCAACAACAGAATGAATGAACTTGTGTGCAAGCTTTTATTCCCTGCTTAATGAATGAACAAACAAATGAATGAATAGATGAACGAATGATTAAAATCTTAACCTTTAACAACAGAATATATGAACCCTGCCCTTGTGTACAAGCCTCTGGTTTTGTAGCCTCCGTAGCAGGCTTATAGAACTGGGGGTTTGGTGGTCTTCAGCTGTTTTCTGATTAGCCAGCAGAAAATAGCACATAAAAGCCCCCAAAGACCCTGAAGACCCCCAAAACTCCCAGTTTTTGGTATGCTATGGAGGCTACTGGTTTTGACCCCTGCTTTGTTTTCCCTCCATCCCATCTTCCCTGTAGTCGCTAGAAAAACAAAAGGCTGCTCTCAGACTGCGGAGGTATCTGAAAGAACAGAACTTTCCCTCTGGTTCTTGGACATGTGTGAGTTAGTTAGTGGTTAGTTCCAGGTGACGGGGTTAAGGTTATGGTTTTCTAATGGTGCAGGTGCAGGTGGAAGGGAATAAGGTTTTGCACTTGCACCAGCATGTTAGCATAACATATTGCATCTGCGCAAAACCTGGGCTTTTCAAGGTTTTTGTTGGTCAGCATTGCATCAGAATTTTGCCCGTTACAGAGGATATCTTTTCCGACACAACATTTGAAAATTATAGCTGTCGATAGGCAAATACAACCTTAAAAGAGATATTCTGCCAAAGTGTTACATGTATGCATACAAAATGTAATTGTTGGTTTTGCACAGGCGTAGTACATTCTGCCAACATGTTGTTTGCACCTATTATACAAGGTACACAATCATGTAGGTAGTGGTTTGTTAAAGATATTTGAAACACCATCAAACAGAGAAAACAAATAAGAGTTGTTTATATCTCTGCATCTTTTTATCATTTTCACCCCAGTTATATTTAAATAAAACTGATGTTTAGACCATTTTCCATGCAAGAAACTGTTGCTGCCAATCCAACAGGAATGTCCCTGTCCTTGGTACTGAAATGAAGGAGGCAACTGAAAACTGGTTACACATTGAATTTTCCTTTTAAAAAAATTGTAACTTCAAAGCCAACATCACATAGTTTCTTCCCAATCTCTTACAAATTTACTTCTAACCTTCAGCCTGATAAGGTAGCTGTTTGGCACCATATTTGTATTGGTTATGGGGTTAGGCAGCAGGGAGAAGGTTATTTAGAAGAAGCAAAGATGCACAAACTACCTGTGACTATGTAACACTGAGTATTCTTGGTCTTGCCTATAGTACTAAGCAGGGATGTTACTGACCATACTTGTTGTTTCCCCAAACAGAGAGTAGAGGAGAAAGAGAAGACGAGACAGGACGACAGACAACCGACTGCCAACGTTTATGTGAGTTTGGGAGAATACATTTCAGATTAATTCATCAAAAACTGTTGTTGCTCTAGCTGTTTTCTCATTTATTATCGACTGCAGTGATTTAGCAGTTACATGTACATGGCTTAAAACAGCAAGAAATCACAGAGGTAAAATTAGTGAAAGGCAAAAACGCCATAATGGCTAGAGCAACAATGCTGACAAGGTATTTGTTAACAAGGTTGACATCATGGTGCCAGAAGTTATTGAGTGTAAAACTGTCATAGTGGACTATTTTGTTTTACAATGCAATTTTTAAAGTAGAGAAAATGATTAGCAAATAAGTGGGTTAGCTTCCTTCTGGCTTCAAAATTACAGCAGATCTTACAGATAATATATGCCTGGCACTTGTACAAAAAAACACAAAACAAAAGGTCCACTGCAGTAACATAGGGACCCCCATGAAGCCCATTTTTGCACTTGACCTTGGTCTTCCCAACGGTAACCTGCCTGCCAAAAATTACGAGCATCGACTCAAGCCTTCAAGAGTTATGCCGCAAAATGCACAGTTTCCCACACTATAGCAAACCGATTTTATACCCTTCTTACAATTTGAAAGACAACAAGGAAAATCGTAGATTTTGTACCTCCGGGTATTGTAATGTATGTTGCAGAATGTTGGGTGCATGTTGGGACTGTTCTTTAAATTAGTGAATGGTGTCTGGGTGTGTGTGTGTTCACGCGAATACCACGTGACACAACTATGCAAGAGGAAGCTACGCAACTTGACACCTGTGCGAACAAGAACAATATGATTATGAACGGGGATAAGTCCTATGAGTTGAGACTGTGCTTTTCAAAAAATCCACCTGTTCCACCTCCCCTCACACTTGGAGGCAAAGAAGTCCCGGTTGTTGAATGTGCCACGTATCTGGGCTTCAAACGTCACCGCAGCCTTGGGTGGGACAGCCAAATCTTACACATGGCAAAGAAAGGCTCAACCCGTCTTCACTTTCTCCGCATGCTCAAGAAGGACGGGATGCCACCAGAGGACCTGGAAACTGTGTATACGACTCTGATACGACCTGTGTTAGAGTATGCAAATGTCGTGTACGTGGGCTGTAACACAAAACAGAACAACACTCTTGAGGCTGTACAGAGAAGGGCGGCGAGAATCATCTACGGCAACAGTACTCAAACAACCCCCTTCTCCACCCTCCAGGACAGACGGGAAACTGCAGCAAAAACTCTGCTCAAGCAAATGCGGCATGTCAGCCACACTTTGCATTCTTTGATGCCCTGCGACAGACACCAGAGCACACGGCGGTCCCTGAGAAATGGAAACCACATCTCCGTTCCGAAGTTCAGAACTGAAAGACTGAGGAAATTTTTTCTGTTTCAGGCAATAAGCCTCAGCAATCAAGATTTGTAAATAGTCCGCCTCTGTTTTAATGGACCTGAGCTACAAAATTTTAAATCTATTTAATTTTAATCGTCAATGTTGTGCTTTTTAATGTGTATCTCTTTTCAAGCTATCTTAACATGTAATCACTTGTGCAATTCAGCCAAGCAATGAATATTGGCTGCCAATCAATGTGAATAAAAAAACAGTTTCAGTTTTAGTTTTTCGAAAAGTTTCGAAATGTTTGTAATTGGCTAAATGATCTGTGAAATCACTAATCCCCCCTAGCCGACTGGAGCCCAAAAATAGAAAGGACAGGGGGCATCCCGTGGCGAATCTGGCTGCCCGACCCTCAGCGACCAGCGATAATGTAAACAAACACCTACACAAACGGCCGCGTGAGAAATCAACTCCAGTGCGCGGAACTTGCTCTCGAAAATGTATCAAGCCGCTACGCTTCCCCCCGCGGCTGCCATCCCTCCCCACTTATCCCACACTAGTTCAAATCACGTCAAAACATGCACAGAAGCGTGTTCATATCTTTCATGTTACGGTTAAAACTTAGAACCTCATTTTGAGCGAACGTTACAAACACGAGACAAAATAATATTTTCGAAAACAAATCGCAATCTTATCAGCAAGGTTTCATTGATTCCTGTTAGATTTAACCGGTACCAAACCGCGGCAGGCAGCTAAGAACAACGGCATATTTGCCACGGTTAGCACAAGTGGCGGTGATATATTTGGTAGACATGATGGTTTGTTAGATTTGACCGGTTCCGGCCGACAGTCGGCGCTTTCGTATACTAGTACTACAGATGCTCACGAGTTACAGAATGGTGAGAGTGTTTCTCAGATCCAGTGTAAAAACCGAAAGGGGCGAGCATGTCACAACCGGGAATCGAACCCGAGTTGTCCGCTTGGCGGTCACCAACGCTAACCATTACACTAAAAGGTCGCACGACCATTTAGCATGGTCAGTTTAGCACTGTTACACTACTCCCCCTTTTCTTTCAAGATTCGTCCTCGAATCTTCCGAGTCCGACATCCCTGGAGCTGCCACACTTATCCTCAGTGCCAGTACTCACAGGGCCCACATCGGGCGCCACTGTAAAAACCGAAAGGGGCGAGCATGTCACAACCGGGAATCGAACCCGAGTTGTCCGCTTGGCGGTCACCAACGCTAACCATTACACTAAAAGGTCGCACGACCATTTCGCATGGTCAGTTAGCACTGTTACACCAGGTCGTGCCGCCATGTGTTTGTTTAGATATCAGTGTGAATAGCAGCCCTGTTTCAGACACGGCCGTCCCACCAGGCACGATAATGAGACGTTGATTGACGGCACATGTGGTTCACATCTGAACAGTTTCAAAGAAAGAATTTATCGAGAATGCTGACACCCCTCTGTGTGAAAGGTCAGATCAGTGGTCGAGACCTCAATGGTCCTTATACATGCAAAGGTCAAAAGTTGAGGTCCACTTTCACACTGAAAGGGGTGTCCATACGCTGTCACAACGCATCATTTTCACGCACTAAAAACACACATACTAAAAAACCAAAACAACGTGCACCATCTACAGCCCAATAGCAAAACGTATACCAAGTCCCAGACATACCCGTCCACCCAAACGCGAGAAACGGCTGCGAACGTAATTTTCGTCTTCCCTTACAAAACCTCCGCGCACGGGATATACATCCCTACCCGGAGGTAACAATGCTCTGATGAAACAGTGTTGTAATACTGCCTGTGTTTTCTACAGTATGCTGATGAGGATAACTACAAGCGCTTCCAGTCCTGGATGTCTATGAGCCGAGCGGTCCAGGCACAGAAGCAGAAAAGCTCACAGGACATCCGCAATACCTTCAGACTGGCACTGTCTGGTCAGCCGGATGTGTTTAAACACAGCTACACACATGCAGGTTAGTGTGTTCTTACACACATGAACACAGCTACATTTGTACACACATGCAGATTAGTGTGTTCATACACACGAGCACAGCTACACACATGCAGGTTAGTGTGTTCTTACACACAGCTACACACATGCAGGTTAGTGTGTTCATACACACATGAGCACAGCTACACACATGCAGATTAGTGTGTTCATACACACATGAGCACAGCTACACACATACAGGTTAGTGTGTTTTTACACACAGCTACACACATGCAGGTTAGTGTGTTCTTACACACAGCTACACACATGCAGGTTAGTGTGTTCTTACACACAGCTACATTTGTACACACATGCAGGTTAGTGTGTTTACACAACGCACATACATGTGTACACACATTATACACACATACATACATGATTGTACACTCACACATACACACATACACATACACACTAAATGATGCCATAGTGCTCAAAATAACTGTACACAGTAGTTATCAAACAGAATCCAAAGTCCAATAATTTTATTATAGTAATGTGTTAACCTTTCTTGCCAGAATGTTAACTGTCAGTCTTCCTTTTGTTTCTGCAGGTTCCATGCCTCCCGTGTCTCTCCAGGCAGAACAGCTGGTGCACATCGGACCTGAGATCAGATCTGTGGAACCCAGACTGAACCAGGCAGCCTACCCTGTCAACAAACCTTTCACCACTGAAGACAGGTCTGTATGTTAGTAGGAAACTGGAAGTAGAAAGGCCTTTACTTTCCAGTAATTTACCTTCTTTTGTAAGGCAAAACAATAGATATTTTCTTTCTGAAACAACATGACCAGGAAGTACTTGTATCATGTATTGCTATAATAAAGTCTAAAGGAGGTTAGCTCACAAAGCCTCCTCCTTCGCTACGCTCACTCGGTGGCTTGATTCGGTGGTTATAGCAACTGACAAGGCTTTATCACACCATATTCACCTGGGGGCGGGTCATTAACCCTAGCCTTAATTAATAGAATATTACCTTGAATTTCGTAATTGTATCACATATTTTAATGTGATTTTTCCCTACTGTTTCCCTGCCACAGTGAGTTCAGTGTGAGTAGTGATGACTCTGAGAACCAGAGGTTTAAGATCCCCATGGCAGACTTGAAGAGCCCCTACCAACGGGACATCTTTCCTCAACAGTGGGGGGAGGGCCTGGCAGCGAGGCCACCTACCCATGGAAGAAGGTACTGCAGAATATATCGACAATGACATGATTCGATTGTTTCAAGGAGCAACCAACTACTTCAATTGTAGTGAGAACATCTGACAGTTTTCAAAATCAAATCTGGTATGTTGAGTAACTGTTACGTTCTACTTGCACATGTATCTCTTGACATAGATGTCTAACCTTCATTGGGCAGAAAATGAATCTGGTATCTCATGGTGAATTGGTCAGAGTGTTCAGCTCGGAGCCAAGAGGTCTCAGGTTTGATCCCCTTACATACCAGATGTCTCTAGCATCAGGACTCTTGAAATCTGTGTGTTCTTGATTCGAGAAAAGTGAAGAGCTTATTACGTAAAACATCATTATTTTAATAGTACATTCCATAACAAAGTGAAATTCATATGCATCTTCAATTTGCTTTGGACAAAATGGACAAAACCTTTGGTCAGGGACTCCATGATTATAGTACCTGTTTGTATCTATACATGTATGAGACCCTGACTTTACCACCATTGTCCCCCCCCCCCCAGAGCCGGTGTGTCCCCACGAGCGCCAGCTGACCAGAACCAGGTGATCAGGGTCCGGCTCACGACGCGGCCGGAACAGCGCCTGCCATCCGTGGACCGCCTGGGCAGCGGGAGTTCCAGCGGGAAGGACACAGCCAAGGACAACGTGCTGTCCAGGCCAGGCAGACAGGTAGGACAGCACCGAATGATTCTGTATCTGTATTAGTATAGCCGGTATAACCACCATTCGGCGTGACACACCAGCTTCGCAGGCACGTGGCGTGGCGGCAGCCAGCTATGTCACACCAAATGATTCATTACACTCAATCTTTGCACAATCATTTTAATCGCAGGAGTTGTTTAAAGCTTTCTAGTGATGATGCCCCAACTGTGCTTGGTGGCAACGAGTTCCAGTCTATGATAGTTCTTGGGAAATACGAGTTTTTGTACACCTTAATTCTTGGTTGATAACTCTGATATTTGAAGGCATGACTGGATCTGTGATTCCCAACACACACTGCTATTTGTGCAAAGCAGTCTGGGTAAGGGGGTGAAGTCTGTCATTATGTTTACCGAAGGAAAACATATTGTTTTTGCTATGTTTCCTCTTCTTCTTCTGTTCCAAACACTGACCTCTGACCTGGTCAATGACCTGATTTGTTGATGTCTGTCACCATGGTAACTGGTGTTGGGTTACATAATGTTGCAATTCTATAGTAGGAGGGATTTATACTCCTGTCTGACCATATATATGAATGTATTTCAGTAAGAATTAACAGAGCAGACCATATGCAAAGGTAAACATTATGCATTTGCTTTACAAATGTTACCTTTCTAGTCTCTGATTGTTTTTTCTCGTGGCAGCCGGTGGTCAGCAGGAACATCAAGTCAGCGCTGAGTAACGATGTTCTACAGAGCATGGCAGAACTCACACATTCCATGTTTCCACGACAACCCGAGGGGCTCCTCCCGGCCAGGGGTCAGGGGTCAGTGGACCAGACAGAGGTGCTGTTAGAGAGATGGAAACTACGGGGGGACAACCAGGTGGGCTTGTTTGTTTGTTTTGTTTGTTTGTTGTTTGTTTGGCGGTCCCAAAGATTTTAATGTCTAGATTTTGATGATAATATTTTGAACATGTTAGCAGAACATACTGCACCTGTGTTTGTTTGTTTGTTTGTTTGTTTGTTTGGCAGTCGCAAAAATTATTTCCCACATTGACTCAAGCTTTAAAAACTAATTTTTATTATTATTATTTTGATGTTCTTAACATGTTAGCAGAACATACTGCACCTGTGGTTGTTTGTTCTTTTGTTTGTTTTTTTGTTTGTTTGGCGGTCCTAAAGATCATTTCCCTCATGGAATCAAGCTTTAAAAACTGACGTGTCTAATTTTTAAGTCTAGATTTGGATGATAATGTTCTGGACATGTTAACAGAACATACTGCACCTGTGTGAAACCCAGATTTTTTACGGTTTTCTTTGAAAGTTCAGTCAATGTTGCATCAGAATTTTGCCCGTTGCAGACGATGTCTTTTCTGCCACAACATTTGAAAACTATAAGCAGAATGTCATCCTTAAAAATGACCTTAAACAAGAAGTGCTCTATATGTATAATGAGTTTTGTGCAGACACCATACAAAAAATGTACATGTATACTGTATGTTCTGTTGATATGCTTGTCTATTGTGGGTCAAATCCCATAGGTCACAATAGACAGGTTTAACACTGTTAACAATTACAGTAAAATTCATTTCTTGTCTACAAGAATCTCACAAACACAGTACAACATGAATCTTACTTAAGATACAATTGAAGAGATTAATTAATTAAAACTTTAACTTCATTTGATGCTTGACCCTCTCCATACTACCTAATTCCAATAGAGAATTGTTAGCCAAATGGCAACTTCAGTGTGCTAAGTGTTAATTGTCTTTTTTGTTTCATCTCAGATGCCAACCAGTCCCAGGAAGTCCAAACCGCCAAGCTTTCAACCACTGGGGGAGTAAAGAACACCCCCAACACGTAATGGTGCAGTCCAGTATTGCCACAAGTCCCTTGTACCCTTGCCATACTTGTACATAATTATATAACAATGAGGCCACAACAATTTAATTTCTTGGTTAATAGATTTTTGTAGAAAAATTATGGAGCGGGTGGGCGAAAAAAATAAAAACAGGCCTAGGCATCCTATTATGGCCCAAAATGGTACGATAGGAGCCATGAAGTCAACACACCAGGCTGGTTCAAAGTTTAAACAATGGATTTTGAACTTTTAATGATACCACTGCATTGAAAGATGGAATAACTGTAACAAGTAGGAAGGAAAAGACTGTTTTCAACTGTTAAGGGCAAAATATGAGCATTTTGCAGTTGATTCTGAATTTTTTTTTTTTCACAAATCAGAAAAAATGAAGCGGGCGAATCCGTTAACCAAGAAATTAAATTGGCGTGGCCTAACTCTTGCACTCTACATGTATGTACTGTACAAGCTGTGCAATAATTTATTACAGAATTTTTATGTTGCATTTTTTGTCGTTGACACTTGTTTTGTATGTAGATGCAGTCTTGCCCATTCATTTAATAGTAACAATAAAAAGACAGAATGTAAAATAAAAAGAAGTTGCCAATTTGAAAGCTTTCTATATAGTGAAGTACTCCATAGTTTTTTATTATGTAAAGATTGTAAATGTTGGCGCAATTCATTTTTTTTGCTGCAAGGCCAATTTGTTTGTTTTGTTTCCTTAAAAAAAACAAGCACTACTAAAAGTAGAATTTGGGTTAAACTTTGTGTTAAGAAACTAGTCTACATGTTCTTTCTTCACTATAGGTAGCTTGCAATGCTTTGATGAATGTATTTAGATGTTAGACAATCAAACTAATTTTATATTTACCTCATTGACAAGTTCTTCTTATCAGTAATTTGTTCACTCATAAATTCTGATAATCAATATATATTATATGATATATTTTTTCATACCCTTTTTTGTGTATGAAAGATTCGTATATACATGTAGCTATATGTATAGCTGGAATTTCAACTGTTTTTTATTGTTGTCAACAATTTCAAATTTGAATCCGATTGGGAATTTTAAGGCGCGGTCACATTTTCCAACCCGGGGCCCGGCCAGGCAGTCGTACGGAACGAAACTTTATGATATCACAGAAAAACACAAAAAAGCTTTACAAAATTAACCATGAGCACTATTTGTGTATACTCTTAATAAAAATTTTTTATTTATCGTTCATGCAAGCAACCCGGCCAGGCCCCGGCTTGGAAATGTGACCGTGCCTTTACCCGACAGTCTACGTATACCAGTCTAAGATCAGAGTCTCTATTCTGTGACTATATTCTGTGAGAAGTCAATCTGTAGTAACTTTGTATCAATGAAGAAGAGATTTAAAAAATAAACTTTTTCCTACAAATTATTTTTCAGATTGTTCCCCAGTTTGAACAAAATGTAAGGTAGCCATTTGGCACCAAATTTGTATTGGATACTACGGTAGGCATCAGGGAGAAAGTATAAAGTACTGGCTATCAAGCTATCAGAAAAAATGTCTTTTGTGCCCAATGTTTTGAAAATTCTACTGATGACATTCTTCCCTATGGAATCTGAAAACAATGCACCAGACATTAGTAGAATTCTAGTCATGGCCAAAGATTGACTGTCAACAACTTTGATCAATGTGTATCTCCTTTACAATTTGGAATTTCAATTATAGCAACTTATAGAAAAATGGGTTCTAGTTTAGTACGAGTGCTTTAAATGTATAGACTGATGTTCCCAGTGTAATATAGGATGTACAGGTTGTAAATGTGTATTTGGTCTATATGTATCATAGTTTTAATCAGTATTTTAGTTTTTTATGTATAGTAACTGTGTTTGTGGCAGATAATTTCCATACTGCAAACGAACCATTCCAATGTGCATATGGTATGCCAAAAAATACTTAAAAACATTAAAATATTGAATCACCAACACCTATGTCTTTATTACCTTTTTTGCCAAGAAGGTTATGTTTTTTATTTGTGTGTGTGTGTGTCTGTGTGTGTGTGTGTGTGCCGATGTCTGTGTGTGTGTGTGTGTGTGTCTGTGTGTGCCGATGTCTGTGTGTGTGTGTGTGTGTGTCTGTGTGTGCCGATGTGTGTGTGTGTGTGTGTGTGTCAAAAGCATAATTTCATACATGCGGAAGTCAAGTGAATATGAACATCATCAAACATAACTTATTCCAATCAGGATTTTCATAATTTTTTAAGTAATGTTAGAATAGCTTTGTTTTAAAATATCTTTTTTTTTCGTTTGGTATCAGGGTTTAAAAAGATAAAAACGCTCATTTACCATGCTCAAAAAATCAGTGCTGTATTAAATACTACTGTTTTGATTATTGAGGAAATTGGAGAGATTAGTTTTGCCATTCTAAACACTAAATTGGTTTTCCTATGTGTGGAAAGTATTCAGCACCAAGGACAGGTTTGCCTGTGTGGAAGGTGTTCAGCACCAAGGACAGGTTTGCCTGTGTGGAAGGTGTTCAGCACCAAGGACAGGTTTGTCTGTGTGGAAGGTGTTCAGCACCAAGGACAGGTTTGTCTGTGTGGAAGGTGTTCAGCACCAAGGATAGGTTTACCTGTGCGTGGAAGGTGTTCAGCACCAAGGACAGGTTTTCCTGTGCGTGGAAGGTGTTCAGCACCAAGGACAGGTTTTCCTGTGTGTGGAAAGTGTTCAGCACAAAGGACAGGTTTGCCTGTTTGTGGATAGCTATAGTGTTCAGCACAAAGGACAGGTTTGCCTGTGTGGGGATGGTGTTCAGCACCAAGGACAGGGTATGCTTTATATATCTACCAACAACAACTCATTATAATTTTTGGTATACTCTCCCTTAAACTTGTATAATTTGGGACTTTTTCACTGTTTTCAGATCACAATTTCCAATGTAGTTGGGGGTGAGTCTATTACCGTTTCTCTTTCCCTCAACAGAGACGGGGGGCGCCACAGACTTTCTGCAACCTATGATCCACGGTGTCACATGTGTTATCTGCGTGACGTCACGGAAGCGGTGAATTGCTCATTCCTTGACAAAGACTGGAGTTTTACAATCGAAAATTTTTGGTGAGTCCAATTTTTTGTGTTGGATATTACAGTTTAAACTTGCTTCATAATAATAAAGGAGGTTGTTGTGCCCGTCGTGAGGCGGTTCCAAACGCCGCAACTTCCGAGAAAGTTGCCCCGGAGGGACACGTTTTCAGGCACACACCACCTCCGATATTTTTTCTTCCAAACTTCCTTTATTCGCACGCTCGCATCAGAGGGTGTCATGGCCCAAGTTTTTTTTTTTGGAAGCAAACAATACATAATTATCGTCATGTCTACATAGAAGTGCAAGTTATCAATGTTCGCTTTTGTTAGCTTTTCAGTGTACGAAGTTTTCCTCATATGACGTAATTTAATTGGAGTAAAATGTACGAAGTCGACATACTCATGCATGTGAGATACTGAGCGTCTAGATATGAATTCATAACAAACATCAACAATATCAAAAATATATTACAATATCAAAAATACAATACAATATCAAAAATACATTACAATATCAAAAATGCATTACAATATCAAAAATACATTACAATATCAAAAATACATTACAATATCAAAAATATAAATGGGAATTGAACCCATGCCTTTCTAGACTGAGAGCACAAAATCACCACATGTGTGAAGTTAGAAAAGTATATACAGTTCAAAACATCAAATCAGAATCGTTGTTCATATTCATAGTCCAGTTCCAGTCCAAGTCATCAAACCAGAATCGTTGTCCATATTCATAATCCAGTTCCAGTCCAAGTCATCAAATCAGAATCGTTGTCCATATTCATAATCCAGTTCCAGTCCAAGTCATCAAACCAGAATCGTTGTCCATATTCATAGTCCAGTTCCAGTCCAGGTTTGGTCTCCCATCTTTGTGTAGGCCACAGGCAACGGAATTTCTCTTTGATAATGTCTTAAGCCAAATGTTTGCCCGTTGATTTTTAACATTAGGCAACAGCAAGTACTTTCTTATGGGTGACACCAGCGCAGACTTAGCACAATGTAGGTATCGTGTCTTGTTTTGACAAGGTTTCTGATGTCAAAATTTGAAAATGTAGGAACTTTGTTTTTTTGCCCGCATTGTTTTGTTTTCGCCCTATCGCTTTAGATTTGGAGTCTGCGGAGGATGTCATCCATAAAATTTACTTGCTGTGGCCTTATGCTCGTACCTGGATAACGTCATACACGGGGCCATCATCGGGAGGCACGGGGTTCCCAGTCGCGGGGGCGGCGGTGGGGGGCTGGGTGTACAGGTTCTGCAGCGGTATGCCCGCGGTAACGCCGGCAGCCACGATGTGCCGCTGTAAGCGCCGCTGTTTCAGTTGTTGCTCATCAAAGTAGCACTTGCAGCAATGGAACGCCACCCTGTAGGCAATGAATAACACAGTCCCGGGTACGATTACGTAGTAGAGACATATGCTCAGCACTTTGAACCATAGCCGATTAGCTAGTGGAGTGCGGTCTTCCCTTTGGCCGTTTTTGTCCGTTGTTGTTTTGCTCGTGGTTTCTGTCATCTTTGCGTTCTGCCGGGCTGGTGTTGAGGTGTGGACGGTTGTCATCACGGCGTGGTCGCGCGTCTGGTCTTCTTCGCCGACCTGCCTTGCCTTGTTTAGCGGTAGATCTGCAAAGACGCTGCCGGTTGTCGCAGACCTCACGACGCACCGGAAACTGCCGCCATTCCAGCACCGGTAGGCTTGCTGATCCATGTGGAGGGTGGATGTAGACTTGCCGATGTAGGGTAGGCCGTCTGATGGGTGCGCCTTCTGTGCTTCAGGAGACTGGGTGGTGGGGTAGTCGTGCTCCAGGCGTGTGGTCACGGTGCCGCCGCATCGGTCGAGTGCCTGTCGGTCTCCAACGGCGCTCCCTCTCGGATCCATCCACCCGATCTCTGGTCGCTTCTCCCAGAAGACCTCACACACGAGAGTGGCTCCGCGGTCTTGGCGTGACACCTTGGCTGCGGGTGGCGGGCACGGCATCTCTCCCCTCGCGACGTCGTCAACCTTTCTCCCCGAGAGGCTAGGCGGGTAGCTGCACCGCATTCTGTCCCGAGTGTCGAGACGAGAGAACGTTGAAACCACCCCCAGCGCACAGGTGCAGCGGAAGGGATTCTCCTGGATAAAGATGTGCTCTCCTATCCCGTGCATGGCAAAGAGCGACTCTTCGGGGATGGTGGATATCAGGTTGTTGTTGAGGCGGATGGTCTCCGTGGATAACCCCTGTAGCCACTCGGGGCTGAGGAATGATAGCTTGTTGTGATCCAGGGACAGCGCGTGTAGCCTTGACAGACGGTCGAACGACTTCCCAGCGATGTGTGAGATGTTGTTGTAGCTGAGGTGCAGATACACGAGGTTGGCAAGGCTCGAGAAGTGCCGCTCTTCCACGGCACGGAGCTTGTTGTGATTCAGCTCGAGATACTCCAGCCATCTCAGTGGCTGGAAGGCATTCTCCTGGATTTCTTCGACCTCATTCCAAGACAGAGCGAGCTTTTCCAGCTTGGTGATCCCACCAAACCAGCTTCCGATGACCTTGATCGCGTTCTTTTCCATGGATAGCGCCAGGATGCCGGGGACGGGTGCGAATGCTCCTCTTCCAACGGTACGGATGTTTCCAGGCCCGAGGATCAGCGTGACAAGCTGGGCGAGGCGGGGTAGCGGTTTCAGCCGCCCGCTTCTGCCGGAGTGCCCCGCCACTTGCAGCTTCTTCAGATCGCCTGGGAGACACCCGAGCGGATTCTGGTCGGCCTGGCCGGTCGTGTTGCACGCGACACAAGGCAGGGTGTCTCCCCGTGTGATCGTGAAGATCCCCCCGAGCATAGGGCAGGACCCAGTGCGCCTCATCTCACAGACCCTAGCACAAGACAGGCCGGCCTCGGATGCGTCAAACGCAAAGAGGAAGAAGAGAAGAATGGCTAACTTCAGGCCAGCCATTTTATCTCCTTTGTGGCTTCCTACAACACAGCAAAGATCTGTAAAGATAGTCAAGAGAGTAAATGTTAGAAAACATATAATCTAACATTAAAAACCTGAATATATTATTGTTCAAACCGAAGTGAATGAATTTCGCAACAAATGCCTGCAAGAAACCTGTTGCCATTGCAGCACTTGAAATTATGAACTTAACCAACTAGGTAAAACATATTTTTAGGAAAATTTACGAAGTTTGGTGGTTCTGACGTAAACCTATCAGAAGTTATCCGGCCTTAACCAGTTAGCGTGGGCCTCAGAAGCAAACAAGAATATGGTAGTTGTAGCCAATGGCTACTCATAATTCTTGACCATTTCTAAGATTTTTTCGACTTAGATTTTTTTTATTCCAACATGTAATCACCAGACGTGGTGACGGCACACTCAAGGGCACAAGATCGGTGACATGTCAGGACTCGAGCCCGGGACTCTTAGTTCCGAGTCGCGCACTCTGCCGCTAAGACACACGACCCCACCCCAATTTAGACTTAGATTTGACCAATCGTCGCAAACTAAACTATAATTGATTCAAATTGATCATTTTATTTTATTTTTCACGGCTAAAATGATAGCATAGAGGATCCCAGCACTCCTATTGAAATTGGTCGGTTTCTGCTGAATATATTCTGGAAGAGAAGTATTTAATTTCAGCCCGGAGCCTAGGTGATCATGCAATTTTTATTTATGAAGCACCAACTTCGTTATCATTCATAATATGAAAAATTGTCTTTTCCGCTAAAATTCTTGGAAAGAAATTGATAACTAGTGTGGATATTAACATAAAATAACTCCTTTATCTCATGAAATATGTGCAACATAGCCACTGTGAATAGAAAATCTGAAAGCACAAAAAAACTAAATTTTTTATCCGAATTGCCCCCAATAACATGCTGTCGTGCATGTCAAAGGGCGGTGAAAGAATAAAAGAACTGCGCATGTGCAGAAACTAACCAATCGGCGCCTTTTGGGTACACCTGAAACTGCCAAAACGGAAATAAAGGGAAATAAAGCAATTTCGCAATCTGTGTAAAAGTCAATATTACAACTGTTTGGTTGAAAAAATGTCATTAACCAATACAGTCTTTGTAAGCACATAGGATGGGTAACAAGCAGTGTCATTTAAACTGCAGTTCCATAACAAGCTGAGCTGATAGAGGGACCAAACTTATGTCATTTCTTTCTTAGCTTAAGAGCTTGGTCATGCAAAACCTACCGGCCGCGGGGAGCTTAGTTGAACTGGGCGGCAGGGATCCCCTACATCCCCGAAGAGAGCCCTCCCAAACCACGATAGACTTAACACCAAGCAACGCCGTACTAGGTACAGCTATATCAAGTGTAGAAACGGGTGCTCCGTTATTTATGTGAACATATTTGTGTGACAAATAAACAAGAAAACAAAGAAAGTGGGGTCGTGTGGCGCAGCGATAGCACTTTCGGCTCAGGACCTAGAGGTCCTGGGTTCGATCCCCACCCATGTCACCGATCGTGTGCCCTTGGGAAAGGCACTTTACACTTCACTCAGGTGTAAATGAGTACCTAGCTTTGGTTAGAGACGTCCCTCGGATAGGACGTAAACTGGAGGTCCCGTGTTTGAGGAGAGCCACACCTCGAGCACGTTAAAGATCCCACCACACCTTTCGAAAAAGAGTAGGGGCATGCCCCGGTGTGCGATGGTACAAATTCTACAATCCGGAGTCTTGCCAAGAATTGGCATGCTAGAATGATCAGTCATTAAAGGACGAAGAAGAAGAAGAACAATATAAAGAAGGTTATTAATAAGATATTTCATGTACATGTCATTTCCAGTATATTTTACGACCCTTATATGCGTTGATAAAACTCACCTCAGAGATACTTTGGGCCATCCGATGGCTCGATTGAGTATCTTGCTCGGCTTTGATGGACCGATTTTTTCTGAAGATCTCAGAACAAAGCCTGATCACACGAACACGGCGCAGGTTCTGACGTTTCCAGCGACAATTAAGGTCACAGAACACAGTATTAACGGGCGATCCATGGGTCTATTACGCGTCATAAAAAGTAGTGCGGACAAAAACTTGAAGTCTGGCTAGACCGTAACGTCTTATGTGATGGATAGCCTGTAATAAACTTTGCTGTGTGGTTTAGAATTTTATTGGCTTTTGGACTGGTTGTGACTTGCCTGGATTGTGAAGTTTTAAATTTTTCCCGTTCGTGTATAAATGCGCCGCGAAAACTGTGGCAGGATTCGAACCCGGGAGCTCTGGGGTCTGAGCCCAACACTCCACCGTTACGCCACACGGCTCCACATAACACACGTGTTGAATATTTACTACATCAATCACTCAATAGTCTGCAGCCAGCCGCAACCGTCGTCAACAACAGAGGAGGCAATCTTCAATAACATCCCAGCAATTTCTTTGAAGACGCCAATACAGCGGAGAAGTCTTAAATATTCAAACTCGCCATGCGTGGGTGCAAACGTGCATACAAGCGACTTGGCACTCTGAATGAGTTTTTTTATTTATTTATTTTTTCATCAGATTCACCTCAAAACAAGGCTCGTGAGAGCCACTTACATGTTTTGGGTTACAGTGATGACTGCGTGGTCAGATATTTGTTCACCCTTGATTTAAACCGTTGGAGGTTGTAATTAGCGGTGAAACATTCACGGGGAAGCTTGTTCCACAGTGAAGTGGTTCTGGGGAAGAAACTGTCAGCATGAAATTTTCTCTTGACTGATGGACTATTGAGGAAGAAAGGGTGATTTTCTGCTGTTAAGGTGGCTAAGCGTGTTCTTGCAGAGAATGTTCTGAGTGGGGGCACAAGGGAGTGAAGTTCAGCAGAGCATCTTTGGGCAAAGATGTCTGTTGCCATGCCGGAAGGTTGGTAGCAGATAACTGAAACCATAACTATGAAGAGACAGCACGATAGGGACAGGGGCAACAGTCTTCTTGGTGTTCTCTTCAGTGACAGGGACACTAGTCTTGTTGGTGTGGTATTCAGCACCAGGGACAGGGACACCAGTCTTGTTGATGTGTCATTCAGCACCAGGGACAGGGACACCAGTCTTGTTGGTGTGTCATTCAGTACCAGGGACAGGGACACCAGTCTTGTTGGTGTGCTATTCAGCACCAGGGACAGGGACACCAGTCTTGTTGGTGTGTCATTCAGCACCAAAGACAGGGACACCAGTTTTGTTGGTGTGTCATTCAGCACCAGGGACAGGGACACCAGTCTTGTTGGTGTGGTATTCAGCACCAGGGACAGGGACACCAGTCTTGTTGGTGTGGTATTCAGCACCAGGGACAGGGACACCAGTCTTGTTGGTGTGTCATTCAGCACCAAGGACAGGGACACTATTATTGTTGGTGTGCTATTCAGTGACAGGGACACCAGTCTTGGTGTGTCATTCAGCACAAAGGACAGAGGCACCAGCCTTCTTGGTGTGTCATTCAGGGACACCAGTCTCAGGGGTGCCAGAGTATACAGTGCGATTTTACGGAATACAGTGCAATCGTATCAGTATACAGTTTAACACGCTACCTTGCGTGTTTTCATCAAACAACAATGAATGCAGTTTCGGAGAATCGTGGTCGGACACGGTTTGAAAGGAATGTATGGCACGTGGACCAGATGTGAGGAATGCGAGTTACCCGAATCGCGGTTTGGGTGACTTCACATGAACAAGGCTATAGTTAAGTCAGGCAGCGGAGAGATACTAGTTTTAAGGGACCACAGAGCCTTGAAGAGAGCCCGCTCTATCTACGACAGGACTCAGGATACGTTGCGAACACGTTACGAAAGTGAAGTTTTGTACATGGACCAAAAGCGGCCCCCAGCAGTCCGTTGCAGAACTGCAGCAATACATTGGCTCAGTTGCTCCTATTACTGCAGTGATGTTTTATCGCCGCTGTGGCGCTTTTGATCCATGGCGCTTTTGATCCATTTTAACGTGTCAGAACTATAGAAGCAGGGTTTCTTTCTGAATAGAAAGGTAAGTGACAAGGCAGCCGTTTAATTTTCCTTTAATCCTCATTGATTCAAATAGAAAAGTCAATGCACTAAATTAAGGAAAATAACAAGGACAGATTGTAGCTTTATGAAAGAAATTAATGAAAGGGGAGGGCGCCAAGAAATGCCTTAGCTACACAGACGGCGAAAAAACACAAAAATTTACCGAATAGTTGATTGATTCAAAATGTAATGTTTGCATTATTAAGGATATTGTAAGGTATATCAAACTGAGAAACACTCGAGACAATATTTTATTAAAAACATAACAGCAAATTGCAATTCAGGACTGTGTAAAGTAAAGGTGTATGTTTATTGTGTTCAAACCTGTTAAAACCAACTGTAATGCTGTCATCTATTGAAATAAAATATCAAAGGAATATCTTTGAGGACGAATGATATATTTGTAAGGCAAATAATGGTATAATGATAATGGTGTTGGTCTATTACGTTATAAAGCTTAGCAAAGACATGCAAATTATGATGATTCATTAACAAATGAGATCACACCTGTGTCTAAGCTAATCTGATCTAATTACTTAATTGACAATATGCAAATTCTGGTAATCTCTTGTCAGGTGCTAAGACCACGCTTCAGGAAGACAGCCAGTACGCATGGAAGGGAGAGAGCTCCGGTAAAATTCGTCTTGGAAGACGCGTTACGCACGTTTTAGGTGGTGAGTCGCACTTAACATTGTCCTTTATATTGTCGTTGCTATCTAAACCGAACGTATTGTAATGAAGTGAAGCTAAAACACAGAATGGAGTGAAGTATTTGGGGCGACCGGGTTAAAGGGGTTTAAGCCTGCACTTAGTAAAACGGCCGTCGAGGGGCGCTTTTTCAGAGCCGCATTTTTCAAAGTTTATTCACCTTTTACTACCTTATTTTATCAATATGAGCTGTGCTTAAATATTGTTTGACTGATGTTTGAAATGGATTTCATGTGTTGTAATGGTAACCGTTCTGAAAT